CTTCTTTTTTCCCCCACATCAGGGATTCTGAGCACCAATAAACAAATCGTGGGTTTAAAACGAGCATTAGTTTCGGATTTCTAATCAAGAATTTTCTAAGCCAAAGTTTACATGCATTGAAGGAACTGAAAGACAAAAATGCAAGATGTTTTGCTGTGCATGTACTAGGCAGAAAATGTCTAGTACTGAAAATGTGTGTAGTAACAGTGACATAATTTTGTACAGAATTAACTTGCTAGAGAGGTAACACTAAAAGATGATTAGAATACTGTCATAAAAATCCGTGTTTACTTTACATCTCTTCTAATTATCACCTGCAATGCAAAAAAGGCTCTCTTCTGATTTGGTCATGTTGTCTACAGTAGTCCAGCTGTATTACAAGAATGAGAGTGGTAAAACAGTGGTTAAAACCACTGAAGTGCAGATTCATTTTATAAAAACTGCTTATAAATTTTCCAAAGGGGATGGCAAGGAATGCACTTTTACTGACTCTTTCTGAACTGCAAGACAAGATGGACTTCACCTTAAAAGCAACCTAAACTGGTAATAATACACAAGGAATATATACTACCTTTATTCCTGTTTCTAAGAAATGCGAGAAAATGGGACAGAACTCCCTTTGTAGTCCACTTGCACCACTTCTAACAGGAAGTTTGCTATTGATTAATAGAGCTTCCTTCACTGCATGTATTCTGTCAACGGTTCACTTTAAAATAGTTGATACAGGAGGTTTTCTTGATGATATTTGGTAGCCCAAACCCTTGCACAGATAACTGAAAAACTAAGAGCTCCTGCTTCAACAGGAGCTCTCGTGGGACATCAAAAGTTGATCAGTACTGGTACATCACTGCAACCTTCACTGAATTTTTAGCTAATCTGATAGCATCAGATAGCATCTTCATAGCATCACATCAGGTGATGATGTGAACAAAGTGAACTATCTCATTTATTAATAAACTTGGACCAGGAATATACACCACCGCTGATGCCATAACATAGTCTCCTTACTTTAAAAGGAGAATCTAGAACTGTATTTACCTTTCCATGTTATTCTCCATTGAATTGGGATCAAAAGCAGGAGAAAGACTAAACCATGTTACTTCTCTCCACTGGGAGTGCATTTTAAGTAAGTAAAACCTAACCACTGATAGTGTAATTGAAGAGAGCATGAAGACGTCCGGGTGCCAATGTCTTCAGACCCTGACGGTACTCACACAGATGCACTGTTTCTGGGATCTGTAGGTAGGACCAGGAAAACAGCAGTCTACTGCCCAAGCCATCTTTAGCATATTTTTCTGCTATTCCACTGTATTATTTCATAGAAGTCTGACAACATGTTTCTGACAGAATAAGAGGCAATGCAAGCTCACAAACATGGGGGAAGACTGACATTTTTTTGCTAGTGAAAATAACAAGTGGCTACAACCCTACTTTGAGTAGCCTTGTGTTAAGCTGGCTTTGTGTAGGGGAGAGAAAGACAATTTAAAGTTGGGTTTTAATTTCTTGCCCTTTTCCTCCTTTTTTTTTCTTTAGGAGAAAAACAGGAAAGACTTCGCATAGACACGTATCACTGACTCTAGCTGGCAAAGCTGGTGTATTTGGTCCAGCCTGTCCTCACATGATCAATCAGCAACAGTCATTTATGCAGAGGCCACTGATTGCCTTAAAAGCCAATACCTATAAAAGCTCCCTCTGGCTAAAATTAGAAATGAAACAAACTCTACTGTTCTGAAAGGGCCTGAAGGAAAAATTACTGAAATGTGAAAGCAGCTCATTTTCCTTTAAAAGGCAATGATCATTGCAGCACATCCAGTTACATTTCTTCCCTAGCATTATGCTAAAGATGTGAAAAGGACTTCTAAGAAGAACGCTAACACAAACCATGCACATTTATTCCACTGGAAAAATGCAGGCTCTTCCCATCAATGTAGGGAGGCATCAGTAGTAGTTGTACTGAAATTAATGGAACAGCAGCATCAGGAGAAGGTCACAGGGAATACAGATTCAAGCCCAACAGGCACAGTGCAACCCCCATTATTAAATCCAAAGCTAATGGTTTTATACTGAAGTTGTCTCATTTAAGAAGGTAACTAGAACAATGTTACTTCACAGAGCGGCAGGACACACCTCTAAATGAAAAATGAAGTCTTGTCCTCTCAGAGCCCCATTACCCAGTCTTTGGGGAAGGGGTTGAGGGGGTGATTGCAGCAAGGTGGCTATTTGTTAAAAGTGACGAAAAAAGCCAAAAGATCCCTAACAACAGAATGCTTGTTTTCATTAACAGAAAAGCAGCCTAACCTGCTGACGCAACCGCAGCGAAAAGAATGAAGTCTAAACGTGACTGTCTTTATTAATTAATCTAAGAATGAAGACCCCCTTCACTTTTTTCTACCTGGAAAGAAACTGAACTAGCAGCGATGACAGCAAAACCCACACAGAAGTCCCTGACAAAGAATAATACCAAGAGGTCATTTTTAAGGCGTTAACCTCTTTCCAACTGTAAACACAGACAGAAATACTACTTTGTAAAGGGCAGGTGAAGAAGAACACCTTCTTACATTTTTTTTTTTTTTTTAAATCCTGTAGCAAAGACCGAACCTTTTACCCATCCAGGATTTAAAGCCAAGCAAGAGCTGTTCGGAGAGAGGCCGCCTCCCTGCTCGCCCGTTACTACTCCGGCTCTCCACAGCCGGGGGAGGCAGGTCTTTGTATCCTCACAATGACTCCTGCGGGCATTGTCAGCAGACGGCCGGCGGGGGGGAACCCGAACCGCCTCCCGGCGGGAAGGGAAAGCGGCACCAGCTGCCTGGCGGCCCCGGTTATTTCCT